AAAAACATTACTCATGCTGAAAGCACATGTTGTGACATACACTACCTGTTATCTATTTTTACTTCACACAGAGAAAGAGGTAAACCAAACAAAAGCAGAAAAGAAAGGCAGACGCAGTATTAAGAAATGCAGAAAGTCAGGAGCTCTAATTGTCCTCTCTTCTATGCCAGCGCAGATCAGGAGTGCTGTCATTCACAGCATTTCAATGAAATTACATTCGGCAGGGAATAAAAGAGAATTCAAATAGGTGACTGAAAAATGCCTGACTGAGCTAAACCTGAGCTCCTGTCCTGTAAATTAAGTAGCTCTTCTCTGCAGTCTAACAAGAAACTGTGGATATTTAAGCCCCTTACAAAACAGGGTATCCAAGCTGGAAATGCCATTTCCATGTTAAATCTGTCACTGTCCTTTTGGCTCTCTGAATCCTGGTGAGGATTGTCAGACCTGCTGCTGAAATCATCATATGAAATGACACCCACCAGAGATCCTGATTCCAAATGTCCACACAAGCAAATGAAAATCTGTGTCCAAAACTTTTGAAAAAAGCATTTCAAATTATTTCTTAGTCCTGAGAATTTTATATCTTTTCTCACTGGTAGTATTTTCATGAAAGCAACTCTTCTGAGATCCACCTCAAGGACAACAGAATCGCTACATCAAAGATCTCATAAATTCTTTCTAAGGAAACACCTTTCCCACTACGTGCATACAAAGAACTGACAGATAAGTAACCGATGCATCAAGAAATACAATGAACTTTGTATGATTGATCCAGAATGATTCAGAAGTGACTGACTACTCTTCTAGGATTTTAGTCATAGCACCTTGCAATTAGCAGGCAAATACTTCAATGCTTGATCTGTTTCACTTCTTAAATTAAACTTGTCAATATCGTACTATTTTCTCCAAAACTTACACAAATTAAAATGAACTCAGAGAAATTATAACTGCTCCCAATTTTCGACTCTGACAAACTCACTGAAGTTTACCACAAATTAAGATGTAAAAAGTGACTTTATAGGTCTGAGAACGATGCAGGCAGGCATGTTGCTCTGCACTAACATTACATTAATCTTGAATCTCCCACAAACAGAAGAGCAATTTATTCCAAACCATTTCTGTCTTCGTGACTGACAATGCCAGCCTTGTGTTCAGCATCTGAACACCAAGAGCAACATTTTCCAGTTGAGTTATAGCCACATTATCTCCCCTAAATTTGAAGTCACACATCTAAAATTTCACAAGATGCTTTGAGAAGTACCAATATCTTCAATGACTTTTGCTTCAAGAAAGACTAATAAATTTGTAAATTGTACAATAAAAATCATGCAGCTGTGACTCACATGTGAAACTCATGTTGAAGCCTATGTCCTCTTAGTCTAGTACAGAGCTCTTCACCCTACTCTTATCACAGAATCACAGAACGTTAGCGATTGGAAGAGACCTCAAAAGCTCATCCAGTCCAATCCCCCTGCCGGAGCAGGAACACCTCGATGAGGTTACACAGGAAGGCGTCCAGGCGGGTTTGAATGTCTCCAGAGAAGGAGACTCCACAACCTCTCTGGGCAGCCTGGTCCAAGTGCTCTGTCACCCTCGCTGAGAAGAAGTTTCTTCTCAAATTTAAGTGGAACCTCCTGTGTTCCAATTTGTGTCCGTTACCCCTTGTCCTATCATTGTTTGTCACCGAGAAGAGCCTGGCTCCATCCTCGTGACACTCACCCTTTAAATATTTATAAACATGAATGAGGTCTCCCCTCAGTCTCCTCTTCTGCAGACTAAAGAGACCCAGCTCCCTCAGCCTTTCCACATAAGGGAGATGCTCCACTCCCCTACACTTATACCAGTTTGGGACCTATGGTGCAGTTACATTACCTTTTCTTGGCCTCAGCGTTCTGCTATTCTCACACCACTATGACACTTCCCTGGCATCAGGGTAGCACACTAATATGAAATCTCAGTAATACAGAAATCACTATCAGAAAGTATTTCAGGTCACTATTTTGATGCAGAACTACTTATTTCACTGCTATGCAAAAACTCATTAGCAGAAAATGCTGTTCTATTATTTCTCCATAAATGTCCATATAGCCAAACTACGTAAGATACTACAGGAATTAGTTCTATTAGTAATTAGTTTATGGTGGTTCAAGAAGTAAAAGACAGCACCCTAGAAAGAAGAGTAGAGGCAGAAACTTCTCCCTCTTACTGATTTGATTTGAGCAGATTTCCACTCTTTTAAGATGCTAACAGTATCGCCTGGGCAGCTGCAGATTAGCCGGGAATATATTTGATCGGCAAAGACCCAAACAACTGGGAAGAATGACTATTACTGCTGAGACACAGAGCAGCTAAGGGAGCATTATGCTAACAGAAAATCAGCAGATTCAGGCACAGATAGAGCAACCGAAAAGGTTTCTATTAAACAGCATCCGTTCTCCCCCAACTAATTTAATGTAGCAACTCTGAGGCATATCTCCTCACTGGCCATGACTTGCAGCAGTAATGCTGTTCTCTCGGCCTCCCCATTTTTCAGTGTTATTCTTAGCTTACACAGAGATATTTCACCTGTCACACAGCCCTTACTGAATCCATTTCCCACAGTGAGATGAACTGAAAGACTTTGAAGTGAGAATCCTTGCCATGTCATTTAAGAGACACTGAACAGAAGTACCATCTTTTTTCATCCCTTGTCCTAACCTACTTTCCAGGCAGAATTGCAAGGTAGGAAAATCCTTTATGTTTGTGCATGAGGTTTTTACCCTGCCACTAGTTAGCCACAGTCCTGCCCTGCCAGATACATCCTCCAAACCATTGATAGTACTTGAGCACCTAAATAAGCAAGAACAGTCAGACCAATGTCACAGGAACAAAATTATCCATTTATCCTGAAACTGGGTCAAATGTAAGCAGTATCCACCCTGACTTTTACCTACTCAACACAGTTCTAGCGCACCAAAGTCTGAATCCAAGGGAGTCTGTGACAAAAGGGGTCTGCACAAATCGTTCTCACAGGACACCTGAAATGCAATGGGATCTCCTCCTTGGAGATACCTTCCTGTCGCTCTGATTTCACTTTTTTCCTTGCTGTAAATGCATTTCAAAAATTAAAAATCAAAAAAGAGGAAGTAAAAAATGTCTGCAGTTCATAAATAACTTTGATTCTGCAAATAGGAGACATTTCTTTCTATATAAGAAACAGAGCCCTCACCTGACAGTACCTGTAATGACAGAGGAGTGAAATATAGATGACACCTTTTAAACTTTTGTTCCTACTGCTGAAATTATTAGGGCATTTGCCCACAATGAATTAGACTGACACATCCAAATTAATCTCATCTATGCTACCATAAATTCACCAAATGGGTGTTTTAATTATTACTGTAGCCTCCCTTCTTACATTATTTCTGCTTCACCGAGTCAAGAATATATACATCATTTTCTCACTAAATAGGAGTCAAACTGTAGCCAGATGCACTGCTTGGATACAGGCAAGTTAAGAGGCTGTCCTTTAGCCGGTCATCTCTGTAGGGTCTCCTCTCACCCTTATCAGGACCTCCTTCAGCCTTACTGGCACAATGGCATCCATGCTCACTCCCTAACCCTGTTCTGTCAAAATGTTTTGGTTGAGTTTAAGAACTGACTACTAAAAGTGTTTAAGCTAACCTAGATCATTCTGACAGAACCAGGCTGGTGAACAACTGCATGTGCTGCTATGCTGGCAGAGCTGAGGGGGCAGTAAATTATGAAGACTGGAAAACAGGAGAAGTAAAATGCAAAGAGAACATGAATCACCTGCAGCCAAACAATGCACCTGGCTGCAATTCAGTAATGGATTAGATCATGGGCTTTTGCTATGCTACTTATCATCACCCAAATTTTGCTGAACTACTGAAAATAAGTTTCTGTATTTGTCCAGCTTCTTGGAAGTTTCCATGAGAGCACAGGACTCAGTAGGTTATCTGCACTGCTAACTGTGGGGAACAAGATGAAACAGCATTTTGGCTTTTTTTTCCAGCTCTGCCTCCATCTCCTGGTTGAAAACAAGGAGTTTACATTTCTCTTTAGTGTTGTGTTGAAAATAGTACTTGGCAAAAGTCTGCACACACTTACAAATAGACTGAACTTCATGAAGGCTGAATACAAAAGGTCCAAGCCAGGTTATATGTACAATAACTGAACTGAAGCCTCCTTCTGTTTGAGCACATTAGCAACAGTCTTCTGGGAGTGGAACCATTGCCAAATGGCTCTCCCAGTGAGTAGCTGGTTTGGATGAGTAGAGCTCAGGGAAGTTGATACCCACTACTGAAAGGAAGCAAGCAGGACAGGACAGAGCAGAGCTGAGAGAAAGGCTGCTGGGGACAGCTGCTCTATAGGCCAGGTAGGGGCTGGCTTTCATAACCAAAATAAAGCAGAGAGCAGGAGAAAAGCCCTTTGTGATGCTCCATGGTGAGCCAGTTGAAAAGCCAGCTCTTTCACCCAGCATGCTCCCCTCACCTGTTTCATCCCTGCTACTCGTACATGGCTCTGGAATTGGAGGCAAGAGCTGGAAAACAAAAAAATACAATCCAAAAATACAGTTTTTGCACATTAAAAATAAAATACTGAAGCCACTGGAGTAGTAAACTGTGGAAACACTCTTCTCATAAAATTCTACCACTTTCACTAAGCCCAGAGAGACTTCCTGTCTGTGAGTGAACTCTTACAGTCCTGTATAAAAGCTCTAAGTGATTATGCTGAGAAAGATTTGGCCCATAAAGGTAACCATGGAGAAGAAAAGATGGGATCAAGCCTATAAAAACCCATAAAGACTAGACTTGATCACATAAGGGAAAATTACTACTTGAAGACTAGGACCAGTATGTGCAGCCAGGCAGGATATGCACCTGCTATAGCTTTGCATAGTTCAATGGGGCTTGTAGAAAGGAGACACTGGCCTTTCTCAGTCTCACAGGCAGTGTAGGGAATAAAGAGAATGTTTTAAAGAACATGAATCACCTTACCACTTCTGGAAGCACCTTCTTTGCAAGATCATGGATGGCTTTGATCACAATACATATAGATGACAGGAGGAATATGACACCCAAGATAACACAAGCTCTGGGAAAAGAGGAAAATAAAAAGAAACGTTAAGAATATATTTGGAGTTGGCAACTCTTCCACTGCTGAAGGATAACACATAATGGAATATTAATAATGAAATTAATAATAAAAAATCATAAGGAGCTAAAGATAGAGACTTGAATTAAAGGAGAGAATGAAAGGAAATGTTCAGTTCCTCTCCAGTTCTTAAAACCTGGCAGACCAGATGATGTTTCAGAGGGAAAGACAAGTATCTTCTGCTCCTGATGATTTATCATAGAGTCCTCTAGAGATGTTTCTCTTTGTCTGTTTGCTTTGCTAGGATCTTGCATTAGAAATAATCAAGGGAATTTCATTTGCTTTACCAAACCAGGACAGATGTTCGGTAAATCTGGTCAGTAGCACAACAAAAGCTGAAACATCTGTTTCCTCCCCAGATCTCCAGGAAAAAAGATTTTAAGTACAGATATTAAAAAAACCCCAGCAGGTTAGGTGCACCACTTTGTAGCTGTCCAAGGCTCTCTCAATACCTATATAAGGATCAGAGTCTCATCAGATTAGGTGCTGTGCAGAATTAGACTGTCCATTCCTGCCCTGCAGAGCTTACAATCCAGTCTTATAAAAAGCAAACAAATAGGTTAATGAAGAGAAGGTAAAGTAATGGAGAATAATTAACAGAGAATAATTACATTTTGTATAGGACACAGGCACAACGAGGCTTACAAAGCACACCCAGAACTTCACAGCAAAAGAGAAAACTCTTGCTTTTGTTCAAACATAGAGACCAATACTACTGTGAGATGGAGTTCCTCTTGCCATGAAATACTACAGGATATAAGGCTCTTATTTTCCTCTACACAAAAAATAATAGCCAGACTATTACAGTATTGATATGTCTATAACTCCATTTTACTAATAGCTCTTCATATAAAATTCTACCATCTGGTGGTTGGCAGCACACGTAACGTTCACATCAAGCTCAGTCTAGAGACTGCAGCTGAACTGGCATTGCCCAGCCTAGGTCAGAAGATGCAGCTGCAGCAGTGACACAAGTGAGTGGCTGGTCACTGTATTCCCCAACACAAGCAACACTAAACCATGCTGTGGACAATTCACATAATCCTGTGGTCCTCAGTTAAGGGGCTGCCCCTACACAGAGGGGTACAGACAACACAGAGGCTAGCATTCTTCCTAATATGCTAGACAAGGTACTCCTCTCAGGTAAGCAAAACTCTGCTACACCTATTTTAAGACAAATGTTTAACTCCTTTGTAGTACATTGCAACACAGTCTTCATTCTTGTTAAACATAACCTCTTGTAAAAAGTAGGCAGAAAAGGCCTGAGACAGGCTGATTAGCTTAGAGTACTTCCCCTAGGCTCAAACACAAAAGCAAAAATCTGGCCTAAAATCTGTGACAGAGGAAAGTCCCAGGATGGATTCTTTGCAATCCTGCAGTGAGAGGCGATCACTAAATGGTAATATAAATGGGAAGAAAGTAAATATCTCAAAAAGAATGAGTAAAATTGAAAATTAGAGGGAATTCCATTTTCCATTGTATATTTGCAAGTAGATCCTTGTTCTGCAATAGACTTTTCTCAGAGATTTGCAGTTTCACTCTATCTGAATGGGTCACTGTTCAGAGATCTTTTTGGAGCCTCTTGACCTACTTTTGTCAAGCTCACAACTTCTCAGTACCACCTTTATGTATTACTTCCATAATATTTAGCACTGACATAACCTAAGAAGTTTATACTGCACAGTCCTTCACAGTAGATTTTGCTGCAATCGTTATTTTATTTTTTGGGATGAGGTACAGAAGCACATACTAAAAGTTCTGCTCGTTTACCTGGGACAAATGCAGGTGTTAGGCAACCTGAACACAGGACTGGTCCACAGAAGTTGGCTGACTTGCCTAAGACCATTTGCTGATCCAGTGACAGGTTGACATAAGATACATAAACTTTATGCAAGAATAATGTTGGCATTTCATCTGAAAGCTGAAATAAAAGCTCTTCTATCATTCCCAGAAGGCTTAAACCACCATGGCCGCAAATCTGTGAGTTGGAAACAATGGCTTAAACTTCCTTATGTCAATTGTTGAATACCAAGAGTATGAGAAAGAGAGTGAAGCATCACCACCTTTCCTTAGCGTACCTTCTATTCCCTGCACACATCTTCTGAGGAAGACAGGCAAACATTTCCTCAGGGCCTGACAGGAGCCTTGCTGGCACAAGTATAGGGTGTCCAGGGAAACAGCCCTGGACGCGGTTCTCACGTATGCTGGGGAGTTTGGGGCTATCTCTGTAAGCTCCCCAACCACCCAAGCCTAACAGCAAATATTTTGCATCTTTGCCTATGCTAGCAGCTAAGTAATGACTTCAGTAATCTTGAGCTGCTTCTCTTATTCCCTAGATCAGTTTTACTCTGTCAAAATAATTCCCGTACACCTACTTAACCAGAAACAGCTAAAAGTAGAAAGAAAAAAAGGAAGATGTTAATAACAGTAACAAGGGTGTTAATAGCAGACAGAAATGCAGTTTGAGGTTTGAGTCAGCATCCAGTCATCATATTTAGCAAGCCTAGCTTCTCCTTTATATGCTGGCTTTTGGAATCCACAGTCCTGCAAAATTCATGTGTAATGGAATAGCACGTAAGTGCAAAAATACATGTTTCTTGTCTTCTTGAGTGTATCAATTTACCTGCAAAACACTAGAACAAAACACTACATAGTGTCTTCTTTCAATCTCATCTGCCAGAAAAACAATTTCTACCTAGACTGCAAATCATGAAAATTCAACTACAAATGTACAAGAAACTTCCAAAAATTAATCTGAAATTTTAACTGTAGAACATAATAAATGAATTGTAATTGGTTATTGCTTTATTTTCAAGCCATTAGACAATGAAAATTTTAACACAAGCCTGCTAACTTCCATCTGCTAACAATTACTCAACTGCTTTGTAACTAAAGAGCATTTCCAACTGCACACAAAGGGTGTTAGTGCCAAGGTTGCTGGCAAATGCAATTTCATTAATAACATTCAATTAAATTAGATGAGCCAACTGCCATTTCTAAACAAGTCAACTCAGAAACCCCCATAAAAATTAACGAAAGAGGAGTTATACAGAAGTGAGGTTTGACAGAAAACCTAGTGAAGATTTTACAGATACCCCTGGCTTGGAATCACCAAACACTTCTCAAGGTCCAGGTCCCCCATAACCACAGTCAGTAATTCAGACACTATGGAGTAACTGGCGGTCCACCTAATGCCCTCATATTCCAGCACAGCTGTATCTTCTTGCTAAGAAATGAGAGTACTCTCTGTCCAGTGACACTCATGATGAACAGATCTCCACATAGCATAGGCCACCAGTATCACTTACTTACACGTCCAGCATCTATTGGAGATTGTGTACTTGTTTTACAGCCATTTGTACATGAGTTAATATCTGCTGAAGATACTTCTTGATGTGTTTTTAATGCAGTATTTCTATCTGAAAATCCAGAGGATAATATAAAGTATAACTCACTGTATTAAAAAAATGAACTCAGCAATTTTGTCAACTTTCCAATAAAACTTTGTCACAGATGAAACATACTGTTAAATCAGTTGTACTGCAGCCTCGGGCGTTGAGACTGAAATTATCTGGACTTTCAAAACTGCCAAAGGCTTCATACAGCTTTCGAGATTCAATTACTGCTGGTTCACTTCTAGTGGAATTCAGAACCTTGCTTATGTCTAAGTCATAAAAACTGAACTCACGCCTCCAATCTAAAGCTTGGATATGAATGTGCTACAACCTGAAAAGTTCCAAAAGACATTCTTCTGAAAGCAGTATTACAACCCATATACAACCCATTTGTATTTATACAACCCTATAAAATATCCATTTTGCATTACACCAGTCCTGTACATTTGCACTCACACCCATCAAAGATCAGTGTAACTGTATTACATGACATACAGCTGCCACCTCATCCTTTCCATAACACATGCCCTCTACACAAGCTCTAATAAACACTGTTCTTCATTTTGATGGCAAATTCTCACAATTCATAAGGAAACCAGAAAATGAAATCCATCACTGTAAGCACTTGATAGTCTTTTCCTTAATCAAAAATCTGTAACTTTGCATAAGCGAATGGCTTTTAAGCAAGTAGCTTTGAAAAGTACCGAGATTCAAGGGTTTCCATCTCCACAAACTGACAATTTTCAAGTTGCTGTTAGTAAGCTAACATTTATTTTCCTCTTTTTATCACAAAACTAATTTCTGAAGAAGAAAACATCCAACTATTCAATTCATTTGCATCTAGCAGACACAGCAAAACAGCCTTCTAATTCATGGATTCATCCTTAATTCTGCCCTACATTTGTAATTATTTGTTAGGATTCTCTACAGATAGTGATAAGACAAAAATTCTGTAATATTTCCGTCACAGAGCTAAAGACAAATCTCATCCAGTTGTCTATGGTGATTAATCTTCAGTGTAATAAGGGAATTTTCCCTTTAGCATGGCTCTTGCCACACTGACTACTCTTTACATGAGTTGACCCATTCCAGCCAAAGGGACGGCTCTTCGTGTAAGCAGGCGTCAGCCTGAAGTCTGCAGATTTAGACTCTCAGCTACTTGTTTTGTAAAGTTTTGTAAAAGACCTGAATAGATAATAAAGTTACAAACACACCCCCAGTGACAAGCTCTGCTCAAAAGAGATCTGGGGTAAGCTGCACAAGGGTCACTAATATAAAATGCCAGTCTATGAAATAGCCACTGTATGAGGCTTCCCTTCATAATTATCATCCCACCATCTTTCTGGCAAATGGAATACAGTGACACAGTACCAACGAGGGTTCATAATGAAGCTCTTGGTAATGACTCCTCTCAAATCAATCTGCTATCATATGCAGCAAAGGTGGTGCAACAAAATTAAGGATTCAGAGTAAATCAGTGATGCATGCAAATACAATCCACAAAGATGTGTTAACCTTCTCTTAGCAGCTCACAGATACAGTTGT